TTAAAATTTCTTTGCAATACTGTGTGCAGTATTTTAGCTGACTGTGAGCAAACTAAGGTAGACCGTGAGGAAAAACAGCCGACCCAATTTTAGGTTTACAACTACTTATGTTCAACTCCATAGCCTTGCAATTTTGAACCCAATCCAGAAGTATGAAGTATTGGTACTCCTGTATGAAGTATTGGGAGAAATTCGCCTTCCTCGAAGACATTTTTGATGGAACCAACCCGCATTAGCATTACATGGTGAGAAAAACTATGAAAACTTCTTATGGTTAGCCCGATGGGAAGGGGACTATAACTCATGTTCCGTCTACCACTGAGGATACTTTAGGTCAGCACTATGCTCGTTACAAACTGGTCGCACAATTCGTTTCGACCAGCCTTCACTGGGATTCGAACCCGGTTCATCTCATTGGGAGGCGAACACTCTATTCCCTGAGCCACCACATGTATTATCACTTTCTCTTATACTCTTCCACGGCGGACTGGTCGTAAGACACGGTTCCCAGTTGAACGCCGAAGTCAAGCATCACTAGTTGTGGTCAGTGTCCGGGTGGGTGACCACTTAGATCAAGGAACTGATGGTGTGCGCTATTGGTCTTTGTTAAACTGTTCTACCATAAAGTGCTCGACTTTGCGTGCAGGTGGTTGAGCTACCAAAGTGGTGAGAGGAGAATTTCCTGGCGCAGAGGATTAAAATTATAATGGCATGCCTTTGGATAATCCTCAGGGATGATTTTCAGACCATCGCTAATAGGCCATTGTGCAAATAAATACCAACTTTTTTCTCTTACTCTGACTTGAGCATGTTCTGAATTGCTCAATCTTCTGTATAGATTTTGGAAAAAGGGGCACCTGATTCATTGTTGATTCTTATCAATTCATCTTTTCAAAATGCAAGGCTGAGTAAATACTGAATAATTAACAAGAAATCTAAGATAGAAGGGTCAAGTGATTCTATTAATTAAATTATTAGTTCTGTTAACCAAGTTACAGTTAGTTGATAATTTTATATTTGTTTCAGGTAATCCTTCAAAACAATTTTAGCGAAGGTGGAGCTGCACAGTTACAATTTGATATGATTCGTAATTTGTTTCCAATCTTTGGCAGCTACACCATTAAGCCAGAAAACTATTTTCGACTGTAAGTACTTAACTGAATTTATTTCAGAATTATGTACAGAGTTATAATTTTTTTACAGTGTTGTAACATGTCATGCACACTGCCTGAATAAAGTTTCTTAACAGTATGGTTTACATAGTGTTGTGAAAAAATTTTTTAAAATTAAATAGCGTAATTATACACATTGCATGGGAATATATTCTATATTTGTACCTATGCCAAAACAGGAAGTAAAAACCTATTGTCACAACAATGATTGTAGTTGATACAAGAACTAATATGATACTCTTCCATAGGATAAACAAGGTTTCCTTTTCGTATAAATATAATACAATAGTGGACCTTCAAATGATTCACCAATGATTAATGAACATATTTACAGCATGAATAAGTTTTTTTTTAATATGATAAAGATAATGTTTTAATGATTATGAACAATGATTTATCACATAGATTGCACAAATAGGTTACACCCTAATATATGTTATACTCATATATTATAATAAATGTAATAATGAATATAATAAATTACAAATGAATGCTAAATATGGATATTTAACTGATATTTACAACAGAATGTCATGTTTTCTTTCCATTATTAATAATAAAAAGAGCATTTTTCAGATTCACTTTTTACCAGTGGTTGTTTTAATATAGAATTATGTATAGTGTCATGCTTTTCTAAACTTTTGAGATGCCTATATTTTTTTCCACACACACTGCATGCGTGTATTTCCTTTTTCTTAGGTATATGAACATTTCTTTGTTGTGTTATGCAATTCTCAAATGGAGAATTATGAATAACATAATGTTTTTTTAAACTTTTAAAGTGGCTATACGATTTGTCACACATATTGCACGGATAAGGTTTTCGTTTCTCGAGGGGACAAACTTTATTATGCTGCGTTAAGCAACTTTTATACCGGAAAGCTTTATTACACACGCTGCATGAATAAGGTTTTTCTTTAGTATGAGTGCGGTAATGCACTTTTAAGTGATTCTTCCACAAAAATGATTTATCACACATAGTGCATGCGTGAGGCTTCTTTCCAGTATGGCGAAGGTTGTGTGTTACTAATTCATGTTTTCGTACAAATGATTTGTCACACAAAGCGCACATATACTTTTTTATTCCGGTATGAAGACGGCTGTGTTCAGTTAATGTACTCTGATGTTTAAAAGTTTTTTTACAAACACTGCATGTATACGGTCTCTCCCCCGTATGAACACGATAGTGATCGTCTAGCCTACATTTAAAAGCAAATGTTTTATCGCACCTGTCGCAAGAATAGGGTTTCTCTCCCGTATGAATAAGATAGTGTCTGTTCAAATACTTTTTAGCGGTAAATATTTTATTACACACATGACATGAGTAAGTTTTCTTTTCAGTCGCAATAAGTGAATCTAAAGTTAAATTATTTTCGTCATTGAAATCTTTTTCTTCGTGAACATGACTGTGTTGTTTTAAACCTGATTTACGTGAAAATGTTTTATCGCATACACTACATGAATATGGCCTTTCTCCTGTGTGAATAGTTTTGTGTTGGGTTAAATTCCAGTTACTAGTGAATATTTTATTACATATGTCACAAAGGTGGGTTTTCTTTTCAGAATTAAGGGGATACTGTGGTAAAATATCATCGTCCGCATTCAATGCCATTTCTAATGAAACTAAATGGTATATATACCAATTTTATGAGTGTTTTTGAACACACATTCTACATTTATCACACATCGACAGTTCTTGTTTTCTTTCTAATCAAATAATNTGTCATTTTAAAATAATTACAACTAGTTTCAAATTTAAATTTGTTGTAAAGAATAAAATCCCAAACAGTAATTCTAAAGATGTTTGCTTTTAAGAGAAAAGCACTGCATCAAAAAAGCTTTAATGATCAAAAACATAAAATATGTATGCATATAATTTGTCAAAATGAATGTCTTTTCAGAAGCTGAAACAATGTAGAATTTTTTTCATTATTGTTTTATCATTAAACATAGAATTGTTTCTAAAACTAACAAACTGAAAGTTTTTGCTATTTTAGTAATATTGAGATGCTGAGTTTCAATTATTTTTTTCATATTTTTATAGATCTAAGTTTATATGTAAAAGAGAATAAACATTTACTCTAAAAACTGCTCATAAATTTTCTACACATTATATCAAAATTATTGAAATAATGATATGAAATAATTAGTTTATGATATCGATTTATGCCACTAGATAAAAAAAAAAAAAAAGACTGGATAAACAAAGTTTAAATTTTCCTTTTTGGCACAATAAACATCAGAAATATCTCATACGGATAAATTCAAGTTTAATCTGCTTTTGTAATAAAAGTAAATTTTTACTGCAAAAGTAAAATAGAAATCTTTTAATTGCACACTTTTGTATATTTTTCCAGACATTTTTTTATTAAAGGGGTCGTTCAAATATTATGTAAACACTTAATGGAAGAAAGAGATTTTGATTTATTTTTGCGGACAAGAGGAGAGAAGTGGTAGAGGTTATGCACTATAAGTTCTTAATTTCAGCATTTTTTCTAATAGTAAGGAAAAATTAACAAAAGAATTATGAT